TAAGTCACTTGTTATTTTTTTTTAGAGACAGGACTGAAAGACTTCAAGGTCTCTTTGAAGGCAAAGTGTGACTGTGCTTTGCAGCCAGCAGTCAGAGGAAGAGGGGGACCAAGGCCCCCACACAGCAAAACCGGATATGTGCTGAATGAAGAGACTGGGACTGCCCTGCGCACATCCCGAATCCACAGGAGGAATGTAAACATTACGCTTTGCAAACACGGACAAAGACCTTGTAAAAATTTTCTTTACATCCACATTTAATTTTTTTAAAAAATGAGTGGAAAGGCCACTGGATATGGATCATCTTTTTTTTTTTTTTTTTTTTTTTTTTGGTGGAACCAGGGATTGAATTCAGGCCCCAGTGTTTGCCAGGCAAGCACTTATTCTACTGAGCCATCTCCCTGGCCCCTTTTTTTTAAAACAGATTTTTTTTTACCTATTTATGTGTGCGTGTGCGCACACGTGCATGTGTGCGCACGCGCATGTATGTGTGTGTGTGTGTGTGTGTGTCCAGCTCAGCCCACCAGGGGGCAGGGCTGGCTGGCATGTGGTGCTGGGGGACTGAACCGCAGTCAGTGTGCTTTGCTAAGCTTGTTCTAAGTAGGTGCTTTAGACCACTGAGCCATCTCACCAGCCCCATGGATCATCTTTATGAATGTGTCAAGAGGATGACAGGGACAGAAGGGCAAAAGAGAACCAGCAGATCCCTGCTAATATTCAACTGAAAACCAGTACCTCCAGCTAATGTTAAAATATAATAATGTTCTCTCTCTCTGAAAATGTTGACTGGCCAAAAGCCATCTTAGTAAAAACTAAGGCGCCAGGCGTGGTGCTGCACATCTGTAATCCGAGCACTCTGGAAACTGAGGCAGGAAGGTTGCTGTGAGTTCAAGGCCAGCTGGGGCAAAATAGTTAGTTCAAAGCCTGAACTGTGTATGTATTAAGACCCTGTCCTTACTCTCCCTCGCAAAATAAATAAATAAAGAAAGAAAGAAAGAAAGAAATTTTAAAAAAATAGACTAAATGGTTAAAAAAAAGTCTTAAAATGCTTTGCCTTGAGAGGCATGGTAGCACACACCTGTAATCTCAGCACTCAGGAGGCTGAGCCAGGAAGATCATAGCAAATTCAAGGCTAGCCTAAAATAAATAAATTTTATTACTTTTGGTTTTTGTTTTTATTTTTTATAAAGCATCTCACTATGTAGCCCAGATGGTCTAGAACTCACAGCAATTCTCCTGCCTCTGTTTCCCAAGGCTGGGATTACAGACATGCGCTAAAAGGACTCTATTTCCTGTTCCTTTTAGGTCACATGGACCAACAGTCAATTTGTCTTTAAAAAGTTTAAGCCAGGGCTGGTGAGATGGCTCAGTGGTCTAAAGCACCTACTTAGAACAAGCTTAGCAAATCACAGGGACCACGGTTCAA